CATTTGTTAGCAAAATAGCTCCTGAATGACTGAATAGACAAAACTCTCTCAATCAGTGGAAATATGTCTACAACAAATTCACATCAGGAGACGTCTCGATTCAACCTGGTGTTGGATGGTAAACATCAGTCAACATTTCTTCAGGAATCTATCTAAGTCAATGTCGGCTTTATTAAAAACAACAAGGTTAACCAAAGGACTTCACAAACAAGAAATCAGCATAAAATAAATGAAAGCTCAAACATTAAAAACACAAGTATAATACAATAGGCTAACAACAAACTAAAGCAAGAAAATAATAACCTCAGATGTTCAGATGGAACTCAAACCAAACACAAGTTAAAAGTTAGAGCAAAATGTGAGTTTTTAGGCATGGTTTGACGGACTGTATAGACTCTGCAGAACAAATATCAATGGGCAGATTGTTCCAGAGTCTGGGGGCTGCCACAGCAAAAGCCCGACTCCCTATGCATTTTAATTTTGCCCTTGGCTCCACTAGAAACATCTGACTGGTGGATATCAGTGCTCTGGATTATATAAATGAAAATGATCCATTAAGTAACTGGGTGCCAAGCCATTTAAAACTTTAAAAGTCAGTAAAAGAATATTAAAATCATTACGAAAAGGAACAGGCAGCCAATATAAATCAGCTAAAACAGGAGTGATGTCTTCTGGTTCCTGTTAAAAGATTCACAGCAGCATTCTGGACTAACTGCAGGCGATGGAGAGACGATGGTTCCAAAGCAACATATAAAGGGTCGCAGTTGTCCATTCTGGTGGTGATGAAAGCGTGGATGAGAGTTTTGAGAGTTTTAAGAGGAATGTAAGATTTTGCTTTGGCTATTTGACATAACTGATAAAAACAGGTTTGGACAACTGAAGATAATTGCTAATCAAGTTTAAAAAAACTGTCCAAAAACACTCCAAGATTCTTGACCACAGAGGAAGAGGACCCAGAATTCCTGCACGCTCTAAGACAGTTGTCTGGTTTTCAAATACAAGAACTTCAGGGTTTTTTTCCACTCAGTGTCAGACAGTTCTGATCTAACCAGTCATTGATATCATTTCAACAAGTAAACAGAGGCTGCAGTTGGGCATACATCATATTTAAAAGGAAAAAATATTTGGATGTCATCACCATAGCAGTGGAAATGAATGTTGTGCTTTCTAAACATTGATCCCAAAGGCAGCATGTATTAACAAAACAATATAGGACCCCAAATGGACCCTTGAGGTACACCACAACAAAAAGGAGCTGAGGAAGAAGAATATCCCCCCATGGAAACAGAAAAGGACCTGTCAGCTAAATAAGATTTGAACCATGCTAAAACTGAGCTTTTAAGACCAACAACAGTTTCAAGTCTTGATAAAAGCATGGTGTGATCGACCGTATCAAAGGCAGAGGACAAATCTAAAAAAACCTAAAACAACGGAGCAACCAGAGACAACCTTTAAAATAAGATAATTAAAAACTCTTAAAAGTGCTGTCTCAGTGCGACAGGGTTTAAAACCAGACTGGAACTTTTCACTAATTTCATGGGAATCTAGAAAGGTCTGAAGTTGATTAAAAACAGCCTTTTATAACACTTTGGACATGAAGGATAATTTAGATGTTGGCCTGTAGTTAGATAGAATATTGGGATCGAGGTTTTTCTTCTTGATTTTTCTTCTTGTCTGCACAACAGCATGTTTGAAAGCAGCTGGAACACAGCTGGATGACAAAAAGGAGTTCAACATGTGTAAAATACAAGGGCCTGATGTGAAGGGTTTCTTTAAAAGACAAGAGGGGAGGATATTACGAGGACAATTAGGTCTTAATTTAAAAACTATTTCCTTTAAAAATGGAAAAGATAGGTTCAAACTGCTGGAAAACAGCAGAGCTTTGAGGGTCAAACTGAGCAGGCTGTGAGCAAAAACACCTCAAATCAGAGACACTTTCAACAAAACAATTCAAAAACATGTCACAAAGTTTAAAAGAAGCCTCCATGGAAACATGGACACTGGGATTAACAACAGAGTTAAAATATTAAAAAGAACTTGTGGTTTGTGACTATTTACAGCAATCATTTTGGACATAAAAGCAGATTTAGTAGCATTCACAGCCCTCTGATACTTTGATAAGCAGTCATGTAAGATTCCCAGACACTTGGACTTTGTTATTTTTCCACCTTCTTTCTGCGCAGCAGCATCCTGTCTGAGCACAGGTGGCCTCATTCAACCAAGGCTGGTGCGATGGTTTAAGGTTTAGTCCTGAGTGGCAAACAGAGTCCAGGACACCAGAACATGTTGAGTTAAAAACGTTTCATCCAACGTTAAAGTCAGTATAATCCCCAGCCTCACTGAGAGCAGAGCTGGTGAACGCAGAGGAAAACAGATCAGGTGTCAATGAGTTTATCGAACGCAAATGTTCGACTCCATATCACACAGTCCAACATTAAACAGGACAGGGAAATGGTCCGATATCCCACAGTCTTTGGTTTCTGTGATAAAAAATGTCCAAGCCATAAGACATAACCAGATCGAGAGTATGTCCTTTCACAAGAGTGACCCAATGAGAAAAATTAAGAGTCAGTAAGAGCAAGAAAGTCTTACTAGCCTTGCAGACTCAAAGCGCACATGTATATTAAAATCCCCAACAATTAAAATGTGATCATGTCTAAGCACAAGTGAGCCCAGCAAGTCAGAAAAGTCCTTAATAAAATCCTTTACATGGTTGGGTGGATGGTACACCACAGTACAGATCACTGAAGGAGAAAAGTTCAGTTCTAAAAGTTGGACTTTGAAGCTGGTGTAGGAGGCAGGTGACAGCTGTTGATAGCAATGTTTGGATGTAAACACAGAAGCTACCCCTCCGCCTCTACCAGTGGTCTGAGAAGAGCTGAAAAACGAACATCCAGGAAGAAGAAGTTCAGAGAAGCAGGTGGACTCACCAGACTGAAGCCAAGTCTCCATCAAAAATAAAAAGTCCAACTTGGAGGAATTCCATCCATTATCTTTACCAGCTTCTTCCTTTTTGGGTCATGGGGGTCGCCGGTGCCCATGTCCAGCAATCAATGTGTTAGGGGCAAGGTACACCCTGGACAGGTCTCTAGTCCATCACAGGGACACAAAAAGACAAACGAAACAAACAACCATTCACTCTCTCACTCTCACCTAGGGACAAATTAGAGTTACCAATCAGCCTAACATGCAAGTTTTTGGTCTGTGGGAGGAAACCAGAGTACTTGGAGAAAACCCACGCATGCACAGAAAGAACATGCAAACTCCACCCAGAAAGGCCCCCAGACCGGGATTTGAACCAGGGTAACCTGCACACTGAGAGCCAGCAGCTCTACCAGTTGTACCACCGTGCTGTCCCAAATTGGCAGAATTAAAAAAGTCATTTAAAATAAGTCTTATTTGTTAATGATCTTGTGATTAATAGAGCCATCCAAAAAATGGTACATCCAGGAGACACAGGAGCACGTCTCAGCAACCGAAGGTTTCCAGGATTCACGCCTCCTCTGTAGGACCACACCCACCACCAGACAGGTGGATGCTCCACCCAAGGATACAAAGGACCAGGTCAGGCTGCCAGGCCGGATCCAGCAGTGATCTATATGTTCAAAGGATTTTAGACGAGCCTTGATGCATACCAGAATGCTAGCCCATTTCCCCTGCCTTCTCAGATGTTTTCTATTGGGGAAAGTGAGAGGACGGCAGAGTACACAGTCCAGTAACAGAGTAACAGAGGAAGACTTTCTGGCCACTTGATCAAATTTAAAAAATTTAGTTAACTGGCGTGGAGCACGGTGCCACAACTGGTAGAGCTGCTGCCTCTCAGCGAGCAGGTCCCCGGTTCAAACCCCGCTCCGGGGGCCTTTCTGGGTGGAGTTTGCATGTTCGCTCTGTGCATGCATGGGTTTTCTCCAAGGTACTCCGGTTTCCTCCCATATACCAAAAACATGCATGTTAGGCTGATTGGTAACTCTAAATTGTCCCTAGGTGTGAGTGAGAGAGTGAATGTTTGTTTGTCTCATTTGTCTCTTTGTGGCCCTGTGATGGACTTGCGACCCGTCCAGGGTGTACTCCGCCCCTCACACAGTGATTGCTGGACATGGGCATCGGCAACCCCCATGACCCAAAATGGAAAAAGCAGGCAAAAGATAATGGATGGATGGATGGAGTTAACTAGCTGAAAACTCAACAGGATTGGCGATCATAAACAAACTGAGCAGCTTCATCCATCCATCTATTTTTTTATCCGGGGTCGGGTCGCGGGGGTAGCAGCTTAAGTAGGGAGGCCCAGACTTCCCTCTCCCCAGCCACTTGGGCTAGCCCCTCCAGGGGAATCCCAAGGCGTTCCCAGGCCAGATGAGGAACATAGTCCCTCCAGCATGTCCTGGGTCTTCCCCTGGGTCTCCTCCCGGTGGGATGTATTTGGAACACCTCACCAGGGAGGTGTCCAGAAGGCATCCTAACTATGTCCACGCAATATTGCAGAGTTGTGTAAGCCAACACAACCCTAAAACATCCACCAGAGCCTTAAGGAACTCTGGGCGAATCTCATCCACCCCTGGGGCCCTGCCACCAAGGAGCTTTTTAACCACCTCTGTGACCTCAGCACCAGAGATTAGAAAGCCCGACCCAAAGTCCTCAGGCTCCGCTTCCTCAGTGGAAGATGTGCCGGTGGGATTGAGGAGGTCTTCGAAGTACTCTGCCCACCGACCCACAACATCCCATGTTGAGATCAGCAGCACACCACCTCCACTATAAACAGTGTTGGTAGTGTACCGCTTTCCCCCCCTGAGACGCCGGATGGTGGACCACAATCGCCTCAAAGCTGTACGAAAGTCATTCTCCACGGCTTCTCCAAACTCCTCCCATGCCCGAGTTTTTGCCTCAGCGACCACTCGAGCCACATGCCGCTTGGACTGCCAATACCCATCAGCTGCTTCAGGGATCCCACAGGCCAAAAAGGCCCGATAGGACTCCTTCTTTAGCTTGACAGCATCCCTCACCGCTGGCGTCCACCACTGGGTTTGACGGTTACTGCCACGACAGGCACTGACAACCTTACAGCCACAGCTCTGATAAGCCGCCTCAAGAACAGAGGCGCGGAACATGGCCCACTCGGACTCCATGTCCCCCACCTCCCTCAGGATGTGTTTGAAGCTCTTCTGTAAGGGGGAGTTAAAGCTCTATCTCACAGGAGACTCTGCCAGACGTTCCCACCAGACTCTCACAATATGTTTGGGCCTGCCATGTCTGACCGGCATCTTCCCCCACCATCGGAGCCAACTCACCAACAGGTGAGTCAGTGGTCACAGTGGTCAGTGGACAGCTCTGCCCCCTCACCCGAGTGTCCAAGACATGCGGCCGCAGATCAGATGAGACAACAACAATGTCAATCATCGAACTGCGGCCTAGGGTGGCCTGGTACCAAGAGCACATATGGACACCCTTGTGCTTCAACATAATGTTCGTTATGGACAATCCATGACAAGCACAGAAGTCCAATAACAGAACACCATTCGGGTTCAGATCGGGGGGGGTCGTTCCTCCCAACCACACCCCTCCAGGTCTCACTGTCAATGCCCACATGAGCGTTGAAGTCCCCCAGCAGAACAAGGGAATCTCCAGGAGGCGCATTCTCCAGTACCCCCTCCAAGGACTCCAAAAAGGGTGGGTAATCTGAACTGCCGTTGGGCGCATAAGCACAAACAACAGTCAGAATCCATCCCCTCACATGTAGGCGGAGGGAGGCTACCCTCTCATTCACTGGGTTGAACCCCAATGTACAGGATACAAGATGGGGGGCAACAAGTATGCCCAATCCTGCTCGGCGCCTCTCACCAGGGTCAACTCCAGAGTGGAAGAGTATCCAACCCCTCTCAAGAGAACTGGTTCCAAAGCGAGAGCCATGTGTCGAGGTGAGTCTGACTATTTCTAGCCGGAACCTCTTAACTTCACACACCAGCTCAGGCTCCTTCCCTACCAGAGAGGGGCCATAGCCAGCTTCTGTAGTCAAGGATCAGGTCCCCGCCCTCGGCCACCACCCATCCCACATTGCACCTGACCCCTTTGGCCCCTCCCACAGGTGGTGAGCCCATGGGAGCATCTCCATCAGGACAGCAAAAAAGAAAGAAAATGAACAGCAAGCAAGAGCCCAGGACAGATGGCCTGCTGTACACACTGGCACCATCTTTACACTGACACTGATGGCAGCTCTCTGCACCACACAGAGGCCATATCTAACAGATCTAAAAAAGTTAAGTCAGGTCCTCTGGATGTATTCTTTGTTGAAACTTTTTGTCTTTAATCCAAAAAACTTCTTCAGTCACAAAAACCCAGTCTTATCAATAGATCCTTGTCATAGTGGATCAACCAGTTTGCTGCTGACAGCCAGAACTAGATATTCACATGCAAAAGGAGGGCCATCTGCCCAACAATAAATTGTTGATCCTTGTTAGATATTTCTACCTGGATTAATGCGCATGCATCAGGCATTTTTTCGGGAAATTTCTCGTTTTAATTACTGGCCATTTAAAACCTCAGCTTTGCCTCTGTTGGTTCAGATATGAAAAAACAGAAGCATTCACATGTAACAACAAAACAGAACTATATAAATAGTGATAATACTGAAAAATACAAAAAAAAAAAAATTAAATAAAAAAAATAAAACAAGTTCCTCATCATCATGACCCGACATGGGATTCTTCAGCTCCACTGATCATAAACACCATCAAGCTCATCAGCGGTTGGATCAAATTCTCCTGAACGGACGTCTGTGTCCCACCTGCAGAGAAACAAGAAAATCAGAGACACATTGTGTTTGCGGTCTCTGTCAGTCAGCTGTCCGTTGGCTGTCAGTCAGCTGTCTGACAGGTGTCAGTCATTTGTCAATCAGCTGTCAGTCATCTGTCAGTCAGTGGTCTGACAGATGTCAGTCAGCTGTCCGTTGGCTGTCAGTCAGCCGTCAGTCGACTGTCAGTCAGTCATCAGTCAGTCGTCAGTCAGGCTGTCAGTCGGCGATCAGTCGGCTGTCAGTCGGCGATCAGTCGGCGGTCAGTCAGCTGTCAGTCAGCTATTCGTCAGTGGTGCAGTATCGTTCATTAGACAAATCAGCAGGTGTTTAGACCTGCTTTGGAAAAGAGCCGGCTTCCTTTGCACTCCAGCAGAGAGTGAACTCACATGAAAGATTTGGCAAACTGTTTTACGTTGATTGCCATTTCTGAAACAACCTGGGCTCGAACTGGCAGTCCCAGGAATACAAGGATGTGGCACTTAACCACTGAGCTACCACAGCCGAACATAAAGGAACAACAACTGACTGTTATGGCTGGGAATCAAACACAGGTCAACTGCTTGGAAAGTAGCTGTGCTCATCACTACACCACCGTCACTACGAAGGTCTTCTAAAGATGGCAACACAAATTAGCATCTTGCTAGCATAGATATTGCACTGTGGCTGGTCATTCCAGAGTTTTTCTAGTTCAGTTATATTTTTCTTCTTATAGCTACCATTTAGCTTTTGTTTTCCAGCAATGGCACACTTTTGGCACTTAGCTGTTTTTTCCTTTTCATAGGTAGCGTTCTCCTGGTCTTTGCTTTGCTAGTTTTGGACCTTAGCTAATATTTTATAGCACACAGTATATTAAAATTAAATTATATTGCTTGTTCATGTTGTCTGGGGGTGGGAAGTGTTGGCACAGTGGTTAGAGAAGGTGACTGGAAGGTCAACTTCCAGTTAACTCAACTCCCAGTGGGCTCTGAACATCCCGGAGGACAGACACACTCTGCAGCCTCAGCACTCCCACATCAAGAGTTCAGCCTGAAAGCTGCATGTTTGCAGACTTCTGATCATCTACTGACCTCAGAGTCTGCAGCCCGTAGTCTGGACACTTGATGAGACTCAACAAATGCTGAACATCTGGATCCTTCAGGTTGTTGTTCCTCAGATCCAGCTGTGTCAGATGGGAGGGGTTGGACTTCAGAGCTGAGACCAGAGAGGCACAGCTGATTTCTAACAACTTGCAGCTCTCCAATCTGAATCAAGTATAAAGCAGGAGCAAACAATAATAATAACATATGAATTATGCATGTTTAAAAAACAAATGTAAGAGACACAAAATCATTATAACTCATATTTGATCCAGTTAAAAAAAAAAAAAAAACAGCCAGGGTAAACTTTTTAAACCAATGAAACATTAAAAATCAAAAAATTCTAATGAATGATTTTACCTTAGAACCTCCAGTTTACAGTTTGGACCCTCCAGGAAACCACAAAGCTCCTTCACTCCAGAGTCAGACAGGTGGTTCTGACTCAGGTCCAGATGTTTCAGATAGGAGGGGTTGGACTTCAGAGCTGAGACCAAAGAAGAACAGCTGATCTCTGACAACCTGCATCTCCTCAATCTGAGTAAAGAATAAAATGTAAGCTAAAAACAACACGATGCAGGTTCAAATTGAAATAGAAACAAAATTATGTACAAAAAAGATGTTGAAGCCAAAAAAATATGTTGAAGTTTTTTGAAATTTTAAACCTTTATTTAACCAGGTAGATCTCATTGAGATTAAAAATCCATTTTCTAGACCTGGCCAAGAACGGCAGCAGTTTAAAACAGAATGCAGGAACAGGCAGACACAGGACTTGCTGTTTTCATACAGCATGGGAGGAACATCTCAGGATCTTTAACACCTTTAGGGAAGTCCTAAGAATTCAGTACATATGAAATGTTACATTTAAATTTTTTATTTAAAATTCAATTCAATTCAGTTTATTTATATAGCGCCATATCACAACAAAGTTATCTCAGAGCGCTTTACAGGAACATTCACATACATAGAAAAGGCAATTAGTAAAGTTCTCTATCAATACCATTTACTTTTAACAAAATAAATATTTTAATGTTGCTTTTCGTATTTTATTTTATTTTATTGCGAATTTCTCTTATTTTATGTAAATTGCTTTGCAATTGAACAAGACTTTACTTTTTTATTTGTTTGTTTGTTTTTAATTTGTGAGAAAAAAAATATCCAACCAGATAATTATACATTTTTGTCTCCAGGCAGAAACAGAAGGAGCACTCTCTGGTCAGGACTTCACTGTGGAGAGAGAAGGCTAAACTCAGAGTCTCTCCAGGATTACCGGTAGTTTGACGACTGACAGGAAAATTAACCAATCAGATTGCAGATAAAAAGTGAGTGGGATTAAAACATGGGATTCAGGACTTCGAGAAGGCCTTGGAAAGTTTTTTTTTTTTTTTTTTTTTTTGAACCATGTAAAGATTTTTGATGTGTTCAATTGCGACCTGTAAATTTGACAATTAACACAGAAATCGTAGTTGCTATAAAAAAGATCCATTTAAGATTTACAATGATAATTTTAACCATTACAGTCAAGTTTTGGTTTCATTACATGATGACATTTTACAGAAACAGAAAGGAGTCAGATGTTGAACTTGCAAAATAAAAAGAGAAGAAACTGCCATTAAAGCAAGATGGCTCAGTGGTTAGTACTGTTGCCTCACAGCAAGAAAGTCCTGGGTTCAATCCCTGGTTGAACCAGGGGCCTTTCTGGGTGGAGTTTGCATGTTCTCTCCGTGCATGCGTGGATTTTCTCCGGGTACTCCGGTTTCCTCCCACAGACCAAAAACATGCATGTCGGTCTGCCTTCAGGTCCAGGCCTCCCTTGCAAAAGAGATCTGTGATCTCAATGGGATTTGCCTGGTTAAATAAATGTTAATAAATAAATAAAATAAAGTGGTGTATTTCAACAGCCACTCCAGTGTCCCTCTTTTTCATTCATTCAACCTTTATTTATGCAGATAAATCACACTGAGCTTGAAGCATTTGGAAGGATGTTGGAATATTTCATCTTTACTCAAGGCCTAGCTCTTTGAGTCACTGTTCACCAAAGTTATACAAAGATATAAACATCTGGAAAGAAAAAAGTTAAGTAGACCTTTCAGTGAATGATTTTATTTGAAGAAATATAGATAATCTCTAACAATTGCTGTGAACTGACCTCAGAACCCCAAGTCTGCAGTTTAGACTCTCTAGTCCAGAACACAGGAGCCTCACTGCCGTGTCTTTCAGGTCGTTTAGACTCAGGTCCAGTTCCATCAGATAGGAGGGGTTG